AACACCCCCCCCCCCCCCCATCCCCCCAGCAGGAGGGCAATGCTGCATTGCTGCCTCTCACACAGTAAATGGTGTAAAGTGGGGTTTTACCCCCATTGTTTCCTTGGTTCCCCATCTGCCTGTCTCTGCCCAATGTCTCGTCTTATACTTCGATTGGAAGCCCTTTGGGACAGGGACTGTTGCTTGTCCAGTGGCTAGCACAATGGGCAGAGCCCTGCAAATCCGCAGCGATCCGCTTTCTAGCCCCAGCTTATTTGTGCAGGTACGGACACAGATGTGGACACGGATTCAGACACAAACTGGGAGTCTAGAACCTTGCAAATTTGCCGTGATCCGCTTTCTACCTGCAGATCACTTCTGTGGCTGTGGATACCAATTGTGTATCCCCGGAGCGCTCTGCCATAGAGCCCCGGAGCATGCCTGAGAGGGCCAGGTGCTCCTGCAATACAAAACCATCTGAAGAAAGTGAGATCATAGTTCAAGGCACTTAAAGAAAAGGTCACATCATGCAGCCACTGCCACAGACTTCAGCTCTCAAAGGACATGGATACGATAGATACGATGGGCCCAACCCATGCCTCCTGCAGCTCTGTAGAAGTCCGTGGCGGTTCCCCCAGGGTGGAATTTGACTTAACGCAAGCATCCCTTTTCTGACAGCGGTGAAGCAAAAGCTTTTGGTGACAATCGCTTCCTTTTATCTTCTGAGAGTTCACACAGAAGCTTCCTGCAGCGATGGGGTGAGTCGGAGTCCGTCTCCCCACCCCCCACCCAGAGCTGACCGTGTGCACAGAGCTGGGAGGCTGCTGGGAACAGCTGTATTACAACAGAGCTCCCCTGCCACACAAATAGCTCTCCGAACCCCTCCTCGCTCTGTGGTTCCTTTCCACCTGCCCGAGACAGCGACCTCCTGGGGGAACTCCCAGCCAGGTAGGTCTGCTTTGAAGAGCCTCTGCCAGAGTGACGCACTCAACAGCTCTGCTCGTAGGAGTGGCCTGAGCCCCCTCTGCTCCCATTAGCGATAAGGACAAAGCCAGACAGCTTGCCCCTCCACTGGCTGGTCGGTAACTAAACACACTCAACCCCCTGGATCAAAAGCTCCGCTGGCCCACGGAGGTCACCCCCGCCAGGGGAGAGGGAGATGGACTCTGTTCTGTAAGGACAGGGTTGCCATATTGTAAGGCCTAAAGCCAGAGCTGTCCCATAGGATGAATTAGGGCAGCTGCTCCAGGCCCTGCTTTGGGGGGGGCCCCTTGCGGTGGCTGCCTCAATCGCCCTATGAATGGGAGGGCCCCCAGGGATTACAGGGCCTGGCAAGAAGCAGCAGTAGGGGTCTCCCCCCTACACACACTGACCGCGGCAGCAGGATCTGGAGCAGCACGGTAGCCTGCTCCGCTATGCCGCCCTGTCCCAGCCAGGCGTGCTTCACCTCTCCTCGACTTGGGAAGTAGAGTGCCACAGCCCCATAGAACGGGGGTGGGGTGGAGCAGGCTGCTGGGCTGCTCTGGCTCCCCACGGGTTGGTGAGTGGGGGTGGAGGGAGGGTGAGCCCTGTTGCCACCCTGGGCTAGGCTCTGTAATCTTCTGGGCCCTTTGCAGGACAGGGCTGAGGCAGGGTAGTTCCCCTGGGCTCTGTGCCTGGGGCAATGGCGAGGGCAAGGGGTTGCCCCAGGCCCCACATCTCACTAGGAACAGCCCTGCCTAAAGGCCTTTGCTGCAGCCAGATTAA